GGATGTAAAGTTTATGTGAAGTCGTTACGTGAAGATTATCACATGCCTGCTTCTGGTCACTGCTCAGACAGTTTACAGTTACATGTTCACGCTCCCTCGCTTAAAACCGTCATATTTTCACACGGTCTTCGTGTCCAAGTTCAGCGAGCGTGGTGACCTAAAAATCTCATTTCAAACCGGTTTCAGTCTTCCTATCTCACCCTTTTTCTTGGAACTAATCAGACTGACTGTGTGAAGAGTGAGTAAGAGCTGGCTGAGACCTGAGAGAACCTGACAAGGACAGGTGTGTTTGCGGTTAACAATACAGCCGACATGGAAGGGGGGGATATCCGTGGTTTGAACCCACGTATCCTTTAAATGTCACATGAATAATAATACCTTCAAATAACCTGTGCGTGACATCCAGGAGGAAGACACGAAACACACTAGATTCACAGATGTAATGTAATTCACAATGTAATATCTGGATAATTATGTGATAGAAATATGCAAATAAAGCAGCAGGGAGATGAGAATAGAGCCGGCTTACTCCCACATACTTCCTTTTGTTCCTGAATATTTTAATTGTCCTGCAGCATGGATGGATTAACCTTAGCCCTACAGGAAGAAAGACAGGCCTGTTAGGTTCACATGAAGAATGAGAGCATGAAGATAAAACAGAGACATGTTGAACACACACTAATGTGGGCTTCAAACAACAAAAACAACTCTGATGTTGTGTAAGACGCCCGCTTGAGGAAGTAAACACGTCTCACACTATGCCACAGGGCAGCAGGAAACCCAAACCCTCTTCTTCTTTTTCGAAGAACTCTCTGTCTTTGAGGTTAAGAGTCCCGCACACAGTCTCTCCGTTCTCCCCGGCAGGCGTATTCAGACAGGCCTTAACTATCAGGTTCTTCTGGTGAGCTTTGTCAGCCGTGCCTCATACCCTACTCACTGTATCAGCCGTGCCTCGTGCTGAGCCACCTCATTATGTTTTCTTTAATGCCCATCATATGATAGCGGTGTGCAAACCAGACATGCAGGCTTTTACTCATGTGCTCGACAGCAAGTGCAACTTTACTCCTTGCCCTAGAGCGTTGGAGCGGCGCCTTTCATTTTGTTGGACTCAAACCAGAAAACAAAAAGGTCGAGCTGTGGTTGAGGTTAAAATTATTCGTGCTGCTTATACAATCCTAATTTTGTTATTTAATTTAAAAACTTTGAACCAGGTCAAGGTTCTTTAGCGCTTAAAAGAAAACTTAATATAATTTCTTTTTCTCCTTATTTCCTGCATTTTTTTACATTTTATTAAAATACAAAGCGACGTCGAAACACTTGTAACTGTCTTCACACATGAAGCGCGAGTAAAATCATTCGCGCGAATGAATCACATGTTAAAGACGAATGCAAAGACGCGATTAGACGCTCGTAGTACTCGTATGGCGCAAATGACGTGGATTGGGCGGCAGCTGAAAATGTCTCAACTCAACAGATATTTATGTCGCGATAACTAATCAGCACGAAGGTTGCCGGGTGATGTATGAAAATGGAGGACAAACTGATCGTGTTATCTAAAATGGAGGACAAACTGATTACCTAAATTGGAATAAAAAGAAGTGAGCTAGGAGGTCAGGATTACCTGGTAAATTGTTGAATTACCGTTGACACGCGAATGAAGCGATTAAATACTACTCATTCACGCATCTAGATTCGCGCGAATTAAGCGAGTTGATGATTTTACTTGCACTTGGTGTGAGCGCCCCAATAGAGTATTAGCGCAGGTGCTTTGACAAATATTAGGGTTACCATATTCTGAATCCCCAAAAAGAGGACATGACTACACGGGGGCGGAGTGACGGAGTTGCACATAGTAAATTTTGAAAGTTTTTCGGGTGGGTTCGAGTGTATTTTACGCGTTTCTAACTCAGTAAGTCCACAACCTCAGACATTTGAAGGATTTTATAAACTTCCCGGACAAAGCTGGACAACCCCCAAAAAAGAGGACATGTCCAGGTAAAAGAGGACGTATGGTCACCCTATAAATATGTTGTAATTTGAGGGTAAATTGAGGCATTTAAGTCGCTTCAAATGTCACTTTTGTACTACTGCCTCCTGCTGGTAGCGAGAGTATATGCAACAAGATTGGTTATTTCTTAATACTTGAAGAAAAGAGAGTCAGTACCATCGTCCAAACTACACGCAGGGACCAATATATTTTCCTCTGTCACCATGTTGAGCTTTCTGTCTATTTTGAAACCTTTTGACCATGCCAGTCGGCCATGATCCAAGCAAAATTCCCAAAGTAGACCAATCTACACCAGTTGCAGTTCTTCCTAGCTTAACTGGAGACTAAAGAGATTTCCAGGTACAGTGGATGGCTGATGCAAAACCTGGAAAACCCATGCAAAGAGTAATTTCGGAGGCCGGTTTCTGGTGGCTTCAGTAATAACAGAGTGAAGTCAGTAATCTCCTGATGGCTTAAGAAAAGAGGAAACACCCAGCTGGATGCACCGACGCCAACTGTGCTGAGCTGCAGTGTCCAAACCAACTGTTCTGCGGGGCCATTACAAACACAACGCTGAAAGAAATACATTGAAATGACTCTAAACCAGTGAGTTAAATACCACTAAGAACAATGGTTTTCTGTTTTACTGGATACTGGGGGATTCTTGAGAATGACACTTGATGGAGGAGCTCGCGGCGTTGACAAAAAAGCTTGACTCATTTTCTACACACGACTGCACGCCTATGAAAATCCCCCTTACACACACATATGCATTCATTAATTGGGTGTCCACCTTATCCGCGGATGCAAAAACATGCTCTCATGGATCTTATTTGGATATGTTAGATAGTCAAAGAGGGTTATAAATACACGCGTTCAGTGGTGAAGTCACATCAGGGATTTTTAGGGGAATTTGGAAAAGGAAAAGTTACGGAACACAGATATGATTGTGCACAAAAGTCCGCCATGATTCTATTGAGTTTGAAGTTTGAAGGATTTATTTTATTATTATTGAGTCATTCGTTTATTTATATGTCCGGCTGGAATAAGCTTACATGACATTATAAATTCATACAGGCCAGAGTTAGAGCGCATTTCAGGTCATGCATGTCCTTAGTTTTAATAGAGAGATTACTCCTGCACATGTACAACATCAAATGAGAGTCACAGTTATGCTCCACATGAACATATTAATTAGCAGTATTTCATAAAGAGCCTGTGCACATTGCAAATATCTCATCAGGCATGAGAAGGGTTTGTTTGCTTTGACATAAAAAGCTTTACTAGCTGCGTTTATACGGGCACAAATAATCGGAATAAATGCCTGATCGGAATAAAAATGCGTCATATTAAAATGTCGATCAAAAGAAATTGTATTCCTTAATCTGAATTAAAACCAAATTAATGTACATACAACTTTTCAAAATGAGGCATTTCAGCATGTTTAAAAAATTGTATTAATGCTGCAGTTACATTAAAGCTTCAGAGAGGAACTTTTGGGTTTGGGTTGAGTTTGGCGCCCCCTGTGGATAAAGTGAAACAGATTTAGAATCTCGTTCACATGTGCACACAACACACAGTATTTCACACAGTCTTTGCACGGCACACATTGCAAAGATCTCATCAGGCATGAAAAGGGTTTGTTTGCTTTGACATATCGTAAAAAAAAGCTTTACTAGCTGCATTTATACGGGCACAAATAATCGGAATAAAGGCCCGATCGGAATAAAAATGCGTCATGTAAACATCTCGATTGGAAGATTCTGATCCAGTTCTGCTCAATTGGAAAGAAATTGTATTCCGATCGAGAGGAGGGGTTTAAGCCGATTGTTATTCTGAAACTTGTCCATGTAAACACTTATTCCGATCGAATTCCGATTTATTTGGGTCAGTACAGGAGGTTTCATTATTAACACTCTGGCATAAAACACAACCGCAGATGCCGTGTCTGCTCCTCCGCTAACATAACAAGGCGTACATACAGCGTAACGATGTCAAATCTACACGCACAGTGCAATCTTTGACAGAACAGAAAAGTAAGTATGCAAGGGCGCCATCTAGTGAAAACACTTAAAACATTAGACAACTCTGCACATGTCCAAATGCTTCTAATCCATAGACTGTATATACTATGGACAACATGGTTCCACCTTCCGCTAGTACACGGATTTGAAGCCGAAAAGCTCTCGGTAATTCCACGGTTTTTCTCCACTTCCTGAAACCAACAATGCGCAGCAGCGTTGAACGCACTCCACAACTTGCGCAGTAGCGTTGTGCGCATTCTGCGGTAGAGTCACCGAGAATGGCTGTGATGACGCTCAGCTCAAACAGGTGGGATTTATGACCTATACTGCAGCCCGTCACCAGAGGGTGCTGTTCTCAGAATGGCTTCACCCAGCGAGGAGGCAGACTGCGTCCATTCTATATACAGTTTTCTTTTAAACGCACATCATGATCGGATTATTCGATTTTGCGCACATATAAACAGTGCGATCCCTCGAATTTTTAAACGGATCAAGTAATTTTGCAGATGTAAACATGGCTATTATGTATTATAGTCTCTTTTGTAGGTGTCAAAAAACTCCTTATAGCAGCTTTAATATCATCCAAACACATTATTATTCATACAAGTTAACACTGGATTCAGTGCAATCAGATTTGATCATCTGCCATTGGTTGTTTCTTAAGAATTCATAAGAAAACATTCTCTGCAACGCTTTATCCTCCTCCTCCTCCTCCACCTTTTCTTCTCTGCCTGTCCTTTCATGCTCCTCTATAAGTCAGTCGAGCTGGGCCGCATGCTTCCACACAATCTCCTCAGTCGAGTTAGATTTATTGCTTTGCTCGGGGGGTACGTTGGATCTTCAAACTGCTCCCACAACTGTTAAAGTTCGACTTTCATTTCGGCAGAGAGATGTTTTGAAAAACAGAGGAATGTGCTAGAGTGGAATTTTTGCTGGGAATTTCCCACCGCTGTGTGTTTGCACATGCGTAGAGCATGTGCGTGCGGCCTGGGAGGAGCGCCTTTTGTCTCTTGAGTGAGTATAAACAAGTCGGACAGACTCAGGTGTTAGTCGACCTTTGAAGAGGTATGCAAATGTGTGCCGGTAAAATGCCAAGGATGCCTTTTGTTTGTGTTGGCGCTATTTCAAGATCAATTACGTAAATCAAAAATAGGGCCTTGTTGAAAAAGAACATACTGTACTCTAAATTTAACAAGTCATTACACCCACACATTAACACATTCCAGCTTAATAACCTCTGGATTGTTTCTGGAGGTTATTTCAGATAAAAAAGGTAGATGACTTGACTGCGAAGGTAGATTCAAGAAGTGAAAAAGAAAACAGAGTTTGGAGAGTACTTCTGCAGAAGTGGTGGACTACTGCTGACCTCCAGTAGCACTTTCATACTTAGAGTCTGCTTCTCTCCCCGCTGAAATCCCCCAAACTTTCCCCTCCGCCAAATCTCTCCTCCAGGCTGCCAAGATAATGGTCTTTTCAGGCCTCCCGTGATCCACACTCTGCTGCGGATCCGCCGCAGCTGGTAAAGAGCTGCTGCCTTCCTGGCGGGTTGCAGTTTGCACCGGCCAGCCATGTGTTCTGCCTAATTGCTTTTCCAGAGGAGAGCGGAGGGCACTGTTATAAAGTTGGGACAAGGAGGGCGCAGAAGAGGATAGGAGAGAAAGAGGAGGAGGCGTATGTGTGTGTTGGAGGGAGCTTTCTGGCCCAGATGTGTGCAGTAGCAGTCGTCCCGGCGCACATCTGCAACCGTTTGAACCTACTTGGGGAATTCCTCTCTCACTGCGCGTCTCAGTGTATTTTGTCCCGCTGAATCCTCATCTCGGGACAATGAGTGGCCTGGCTGCCTCCCTCGGTTCTTCCTCTCATATTTCCCTCAGACTCCCCGACAGAGACGGCGTGGGATCTTTTGTTTAAGGGACATTTAAAGGGAAGTTAAAAAGAGCCGTGTCTCTCTCTCTCTAAATATAAAGCACAGACATAACAAGCACTCGGTTGTGAGTCTGTGTTTGACAAAGATTCAAAGCTTTCAACGAGTAAGAGACAGACCTCGACTTCCACAAAGAGACTCCAAAAATGTAAACAGTAATTTAAATTTAACATAGCTGCAAAGAGGGTTAAATTTAACAAAGGGCTAAATATATCTATTGTTTTTCTCCTGCGTGGGTTTGTCAAAGCAAAACAAAAGCAGGGAGTTTCCTCTCTACCAGGATGTCAGGATATTTCCTACATTTGGGTTGTAAAGATTGAGAACAAGATCTTCTGACTGACACATATCTAACCACTAATCATTATCTTTTCATCCACCTGCTGCTCGTCCGTGAAATCTAGGCCTGTTACATGAACGGGTTTGGTTCCTCATAACTCTCTGACAGCTCAGACGCTCAAAAATTTGACCTTTTTCTTTTCATGTTTTTTGTAGGTTGTATATGATTGAACCTGACAGGGATTGTCATGAGAACAAAGAGACGACGGACGTTTTTAGCGTGGAGATAACAGACAGACAGGCTGCGCTATAAATACATGTGTTTTCCTTTCAGTTGTGTTTTCGCGCCGTCTTTCACTTTACAGACAGATGACACAGATTCAATGACCTGCTGCACAGTTGCTACTTAATGTTGGTGTTTATTTTGGTTCAAGCTGCAAAAATCTGTGTTTTTGCATGCTGAATTTAACAATCAACCCAATTTTCAATCAAGCACAAGGGATTTCAGCATCTGTTAATCACTGTTCTCATCCATATCAATCTCAGGAGGAGTTGGTATCCATTTTCAGCGTTGCCTCGCCAGCAGCAAACATCAAAAATATGAATTTAACCGCTAAATTATCAACTTAACTTGTTTAAAATAAATGCATTTGAATGATTTTGTTATTGAAAAACAATCAAAACAGCTGAGAGTGGATCCAAACAGGCGCAGAGGCCTTTTCTGTGTTCTTGTAGAGTTTATAATGTCTAATCTGTGACAGACAGACGGCCACAAACTGATCTTTTTGTCTTTTGACTCAGAGGGAGGTAGACATATTTACTGTTTCCACGTTTCACAGCCCTGTTCACACTGTTTGCTCTGTGTCAGATCTGAAATACAAGTGACAGACAGTGAGTCTGTGTTGGTGTGGGGGGGGGGCTGCTCTTTACAGAGGAAAGTACCTAAAGTGTACATCTGGACTTCAGTGTCCTATGCAGCAACACCCTCCTCCCAAACAGACTCCTCATTCTGCAGAGGATGTTTCACTACCGTTTAGCTCTGACCGGTCGTTAGTTACATAAGCCATTATGAAAAGAAAAAGCAGCGGGGCCTCCACCCTGCAGAACGACAACACCCACTGACCAGTCAGGTCCAAAGGCCGGGGTCACGCTTGTCGCCGCTTGTTCCAGGAGGAAATCAAAAACAAGTTGCAGTTGAGGAAATTTAGGCGGATAGGTTCTGACAGTAAGCAGCAGATAAGTGAGAAATTAACGCCTCACTCATAAACTAATTCAGCTCGTTACAGGAATGAATGCTTCTTCTATTTTGACTGACAGATTAGACACACAGCGGAGGAAATACCAGATTTTAAATGTCAGACTAAATGCCCATCACAAAGATTTGAGCCTCTTTATGTCTCATTTATGCAGAGCCTAGGAGGTGACATAAATTTCCATTTTTTTTTAATCTGCACGTGCGATTTAGTATCTCGCAGGTGTGTTTTATTATATCACAGGTGCAATTTAACTGTTTGTTAATAAACAAAATCACTTCCTGCAAGTCAGAATATCGCAGACGGCAAAGTCACTGTGCTTTAAGGATTCCAATGAGGTTAGCTACAATACCAAATGTGGCTAAGCTATAAAGTATCTCTTTGTGAGTTGTACCTAAATGACAGAAAATGTCGATGTCCTTATTCTCTCACAAATGAGGCGCGCTGGAGATTAGTTACAAAAACCGCATGCGCAAGATACAAATAAAAGGCAGGTACGAGATACTGATAAAACGCATGTACGAGATGCTAAATCCCACATGCGAGATGCTAAATGGCATGTGAGATACGTACAAATGCATGTCCAAGATACTTATAATTTGCACACGCAAGATACTTATAAAACACACGTGCAAGACACTAAATCGCACATGCGAGATACTAAATGTGAGATTTTACAAATGCGACTACGAGATGCTAAATCACACGTGTGAATTTAAAAAAATAAAAGTTCATGTCACCTCCCGGATATTTACAAAAAAAAAAAAAAAGCACGTCTTCAGAGGTTCAATCGCCAAACGCTCAGCAGTCCTTAAAAGACAAAAAAAAAAAAAGGTATTTAACAAACATTTATCATTGCTTTTTCAAAAACAACAAAAAGGACTGTGCTTACTTTTAAAAAAAAAAAAAAAATCTCTTTCCAATTCTTAACATGAGTCTGACAACAACGGAAACAAGTTTCCTGACTTTCCTGAATTGTTGCTCTGATGGTAGCAAATGCTAACGTTAATGAATCAATGCAACGTTAACCAAAATGATAGAATATGATCTTATATGATGATACTGGACGATACAAAATGACAGGACTTTTACTATAAGATACAAAACGTTACAATTTGGCATGAAACCGTACAGCCCAATACAAAATATGTTACAATATGTAACAATCTCATATAATCAGACACAAAAAAGTTGCAACACCACAGAAATAAAAACCTACCGTATGATACAGTGTGATAAGATAAGATACGATGTGATAGAAAATGATTCATTTCTATAATGAGACATGAAAGTATGTTATATGCAAATTATTAGGATGTGAAATCATACAGTACAATACAAAAACATGGTGATTCAATGTGATACAATACCACAATGATACCAAACGACCTGATACGATACAACAGGATAAGGTAAGATATATGTGATGTATTCAGAGGTGAAACTGGGGTCAACCTAAAACATCTACATCAGTTGAATAAAACAAACACAAATTATACTGTCTGTAAATAAACTCTAAGAGCCGTTTAACTGAAGATGGAGAGCTGTTTCTTCTCAAATTTAAGGTTTATTCAACTTACAGTAATGCATACTTTTACATTAATAAGGTTTTGATGACATTTTTACCAAAGACAAAAAAACTAGGATAGTAATTTATCAATAAATAACAAATTATATGCACAGAATGGTATGCTGAGTGACTAAAGTTTGATTTTAATCTAATTTAGCGATTCATTATGTAATTTTGCTGATAAAAAATGTGTAACTGTGTTTGTTTTGAGTCTGAAATTGTGCAAACCAGGCTGATGGGCCAGAATCTAACATATAAGCACCAAAACAGAAAAGAAGCAAGACTAAGAGGAAGTTTGAAATGTTTGACAAACGTAAGAGCTCTGCAGAAAAACTAAAAATTCAGACATTATCAGACTGACTGACTGCAGAATGACGGAAACAGTCCGACAAAAACTGAACAGGACTTTCCAGAGGTGGTTGTTGAGGAGGATATGTTCAGATCAGACTGAGATAATTCTGAACTTTTTAACCACAATGACACTCTGTTTAGCTAAAATAATGACGTAAACGTACTATTTATGCAATGTTTTTCTTTTTTTACCTTGCAATTTTGCAATCTTGGAGGAGAATGAGTGTCTACACTTTAAAAAGAAACTCTGCAGAATGATCTCAACGCTTGTTAGCCAGAGTCAGCTGAAGCCCTGAAACCCCCTATTTTAACATATTCAGTCATTTTTTAGATATTTTCTTTATATTTCCAACACCTGCAGATCAATCAATGCATGAGCTCGGTTCAGTTTGAAGCTGGTTTGTTTTCTATAAGAGCTGCAGGTTGAGAGGTTGAGTTGTTGTAGCATTGTTGTCTTTGTATTTAGCCACCTGTACCAGCAGAAAGATGCAGCGAGTGCCAGGGACTTTCCACAACCCTGTGTCTGTGTGTGAGCGCACACGTGTGTGTGTATGCGCGCGTGTGTGTGTGTATCAACTACTTTTTGACAGTCAAGTGTACGTTTCTGCTTTTGGGCGTATGCATGTGTGTGTTTGGGTGTGTGTCGGGCACTGTGTAGAGACTGTGAGTGTGGGAGTGTAGTGTGTAGCTGCATGCAGAGGAGCTTTTGCAGCAGTCGAGGATATATAACCATGAATAAATGATGAAGATAAATCACATCCTTAAATGTTGATGTTTTATTGCATGCAAACTAGAGATTTGATTTGATTTTAATGGCCAAAAAATGCAGTTTCAAGGATGCAAATGCAAAAATGAGGCGATACTCCTGACATATAATAAAACAGCCTCATATGAATGAATGAAATGCCTGTGACAGAGTTTGCCCTTAAAGTTTGCGTCTCAGTTGTGACCCGTTCTCTTTGTGTTTCTAAGCTGCAGCCCACGGAGGAAGCTAAGGCTAAGGGGGCGAGACAGCAGACCAGGCGGTGTTGGAAATCCCCTTCCCTCAGCAGGCCTGCCTCGTCTGAGACCCACAGGGCCTCGCGGAGGCCCACATCAAAGGGGCTGCTGCTGTTCTCATCATCCTCCAGCTTTCTGTCTTTCTATATGTCTCACAGTCCCTCTTGGTCTTCACCCCTCACCTCTATCTCAGTTTCCTTTATATACATCCAGGCTTTTTCACCAGCAGCACGTCCTTTTCCTCGTTTTAACCCTAGAACTCCATCGCAGGGTGATTTTCACCCGAGCAAACATGTTTACGTGATTTTCATGATGTTGCGTTCATCTGAGTATTATGGGTCCCTGGGTAGCTTCAGCATTGCCTTTGACATCTTTGGAAGCATATTTGTTTCCCTGATCCAAAACCTGCTTTTCAATAGCGATAGAGGGTAAATAGTTTTAGGTGGATTTGATAGCTGCATGTAGGCGAATAAGGTCAGTAACAGTGGTCCTGGAATTTGCATGATATCTTTATTTAGCACAGTGGTTATGAATAACTATCACAAGGTCGTGATGTTCAAGGGAATTCATATGGTGATAAGAAATATTCTAGTCAGCTGGTCATTTTTACTCACTCAAAATCTGCCGTATTTTGGTTCTCTCTCCTGCAGCTGTTATTGTGCCAAGGACCCTGAGTTTTCACGAGGAAAGACTCACATGCCCCAGGAATGGGTGGAAAAAAACTAAGTTAACAGTTTTATATGGTCCCCTCATGGCACTTAATGTCCCTACCTTTGGACATTGCACAGTTAAAAATAAAAGAAGGGTGCTGGAAAAGAGGGTCCGATAGATAGTTGAACTTGAGGAGGAACAATGCGGTTTTCGTCCCGGTCACAGAACTATGGTTCAACTCTTTACCCCCGCTCGGGTTCTTGAAGGGAGATGGGAGTTTGCCCAACCAGTCCACATGTGTTTTGTGGACTTGGAGAAGGTCTACGACCATGTCCCTTGGGGCAATCCTGTGGGGGGAGTATGGGGTGGATGGTTCCTTATTAAAGGCCGTCCAATCCCTTTACCAAAGGAGCACAAGCTCCGATGATGAGAGTTGGACTCCACCAGGGCTGCCCTTTGTCACCGGTTCTGTTCATAACCTTGATGGACAGAATTTCTAGGTGCAGCCGGGGGGTGGATGGTGTCCAGTTCGGCAGGCAGAGGATTGTGTCGCTGCTTTTTGCGGATGATGTGGTTCTTCTAGCTTCGTCCAGCAGTGACCTTCAGTTCTTGCTGGGGCAGTTCGCGGCTGAGTGTGAAGCGGCCGGGATGCGAATCAGCACCTCCAAGTCTGAGGCCATGGTCCTCAGTCGGAAAAAGGTAGGTTGCCTTCTCCAGGTCGGAGTTCAAGTATCTCGGGATTTTGTTCACGTTGAGGGTAGGATGGAGCGGGAGATCGACAGGCGGATCGGAGCGGCGTCAGCAGTGATGCGGACGCTTAACCGATTTGTCGTGGTGAAGAAAGAGCTAAACCATAAGGCGAGACTCTTGATTTACCGGTTGATCTATGTGCCGATCCTCACCTATGGTCATTAACTTTGGGTAATGACTGAAAGAACAAGATGGCGGATACAAGCAGCCAAGAGTAGGCGCTAAGAGTAGAACCACTGCTCCTCCACGTCGAGAGGAGTCAGCTGAGGTGGCATCTGGTTAGGATGCCTTCTGGACGCCTCCCATCAGAGGTGTTCCGGACATGTCCCACTGGGAGGAGACCTCGTGGCCTGCCCAGGACCAGGTGGAGGGATTATATCTCTCGCTTGGCCTGGGAGCGCCTGGGAATCCCCCCGGAGGAGCTGGTGGAAGTGGCTGGAGTGAGGGCCATCTGGGCTTCCCTCCTGACAAGCGCTTTTTCTTGGGTATATTATTTTGGTTAAAAAATCACCCGGGGACAGTGATGGTGTTACTAATTTTAGCGATAGTGTTCTAGGGTTAAACGTCACATATCTTCACCTTGTCTGGGTGTTCTGTTGAGGTACTAACCTGAAGGGCAGTTTGCATCTGCAGCACAATCTGAGCCCGATCAGAAACACTCATTTCTGGGTGACTAACCTGCATGTGCTCCCTGATTACTAACTGACAGTTCCCCACCACTGAAAAGTGCATGTATCAGCACATGTGGCAGTCAGATAGGAGTAATAGATCTCAGGACTTGACTCACGGACCACCTTTGACTAAATCAGAAGTGAAAATGCTGCAAAATTAGAAGTGAAAATGCTCCACTGGTCACCCCCACCCCCTCCACTCACTTCCCACAAAAATGTCAGGTATGTTCGAGGCAGCAGACAGCTGGAGGCCGGCGTGTGGACACAGAGACACGGGGGGATCAGACACAAAAAAGCTGAGGTCTGGGACGGACCCTTTGGCCCAGATGTAGCTCATGTGCAGGCAGCTATTTGTGATGGCCGCAGCACTAAACACTCAGTCACAAGGAATGGCATTGTGAATTCTCAACTCTGGATTTTCCCTCTTAATCACTGATTGCCTGATGACTGCTGTGTGTCTCATTTGCCCAAAAGGAAGCTCCTACCGCTGAAAAAGTCCTCCCTGCTGCACCACTGCACACACACACAGTTTGTCGCAGAAACCCATAACCCACATATGTGCTATCTCCTAAAACCATAATCTAAATTTAATCTGTCAAAAGATCAACATGCATCCGATTATGTAACATACTTCCTATCTATCATAACTTTGACACATGATCTGACAGATCATAAGGTAAAGGGAATTTTATCAAGCTTCTAAAATCACACACTCATTTGCGTCACATTTGTGTTTATTTACACTCGCCGTTTGACCTTAAATGATGCGTCTGGCCTATGGTAACCCCAGGATGTTGTGCCTGTTACTAGTCCACTACTGCCCTCTAGTGGACTGATGTGGACCTTAGCTGCTGACATGCTCACACATGGAAAGAAGGGATGGAAAAAATCAGGTTATATTTGTGATTTGTTCATGTTTCTTTTTGATCACACTTATACTGTTTAGCTTTTCTTTCATTAGTTGTAAATCGTGTGTTTTAAAGGAGTGAACGAATGAATTAACTTTATTAGATTTACTGTAAAATCCCTCACAGAGAACTTTCCATCATCATCATCTTTACTGGTTTTCCTGCTCGGGGTCGCAGCAGGACTGGAGTCTTTCCCAGCCGTCATTGGACAAAAAGTCCAGGCCACTTTTTTCCACTACACAGCCTAAAAGTTGTAAATGTACCTTAAAAGTTAAAATTAGGGGCTGATATCAAACATTGGTGTTCATGTTGATGCCTTTGGGATTCAACTGTATACACCTGAAATTAACAGTTATACCACATTATTATACCTGACCAGTTTGAGATTTTAGTAACACTTTATTTGACCCCTATCTCTATAACGCATTATAAATATATGTATAATGTGTTATAAACACGTTATAACACTGTATAACTATAGTTATAAACACTCATAAATTATCATAATGCTTTATAGTGATAATCATAACACATTATAAAGCCTTTTATCATGATTTACAGGGTCAGGTATTATAATGTGTTATAACTGTTAACAACACAGTTATAACACATTATAATACCTGACCTTGTAAGTCATAATAAAATGCTTTATAATGTGTTCTATTATTGGTTTTAATGTACTTTTAATGTTATTAAAATTCTTTATTTTATAATGTTCTGTAGTATGTTCTATGTAAATTGTAAGACGACCTTGAGTGCCTTGAAAGGCACCCTAACAAATAAAATGGGACTCATATAGCCTATAGACCATTAATAAATTGTAAATTTTACAATTTTAAAAACCTAACCCTAACTTTACAATAACCATTCAAGTAATGTTTATAGATGGTTAAAAAGCCAAATATTAACCATTTACAAAGTGCTACTGACACACATTTTAATCTAGATGTTTTACAACCAATATTTAAACCCTATATAACCTTTAATAAATAGTCCAATGATAATTAATGAAAATTATTAATCATAATTTCATTGCTTCTTCATGGTAAATTAACTTACATTAATAAACCATCTATTTATAATTGATGTATATGCTGTTTTTCAATGATGATTAAACATTAATAAATTATCTATTTACCATTGATCAATTATGGTTAATGTAGTGTTACCATAAAATGTATTATTATTATTATTATGAGATAGTCTAAGAATTATTGAATACGTGTTGAAATATTATGTGTAATTTGACAGAATTATGAATAAAATACTGAAGTATCTCCAGAAAACTGAGTCAAGAGTCCTGATTTAGCTGCTATGAAACATAAACAGTGTTTTTGACACGGTCAGAATGAAAGTCCACCATCAAAACCACCAGCTCGTACCACATGTATGAGTCTGTTTGTATGTTCAGTATATGTGAGTATCGGTGAGGGAGGGCGTTCCTGCTGTGGAGGTCGTTCTGGACCACAGAAACCCACTCTGACCTCACAATGGGGACTTTGTACAGTGAGTGGACGGGGTCTGTGACCTCAGAGCAGACTGCTAACAGGACTACACAGGCTCTTTTGTTGCTGCGATAAAGACAGTCCCTCACATCACTCGCACTGTAGCAGCCCTATGACTCAACATGCAGACGAAAACCACAACACTGACCGGAGAACATAATCCAGATCCTCGACTGGACTCATGAAAAGGTGGAAAAACAGACGAGAATAAAAATCAGACATAACTATCATTTTATTAACAGTGTTAATTTACAAATCAATATAAAACGCTTAAATTAAGTGCTTAGTTCAGTTAAATAAATACATAAATATATCAAAAATGGTACTAAAAACAGTTAAAAATGTAAGTTTGCATTTCTTTATACAGACTTAGTGTAACAATGCTCCCTGCCAGTATTTAAGGTGTACATGTCGCTTTAGCAGATCAAAAGAAATCTTCAACTGAACCCGTTTGATACAGAATCGAACAAAAACAGTCGACGTGTGAAACCGTGACGGATGTTAAATCTACTCAGTGCTTCCACAGACACACAGGAAGTGCAATACAAGCTTCACACACGTTAATAGAAACACACAGAAACTCAGTAAAGGAGTGTTTAAACGGCCAGTTTTTGGATATGGCAAAGGGAACCAAGATTGCACCGGTTTGACCAGATCTGGACACGACAGCTGTTTGCGTTGGCGTCATCTATTGAATAAAACCTGACTGGACCTCATGAATCAAAGGGTGTTTGACCCCCTTTTTCGATAAACATACAATAAACTCCGTCCAGATGTGAGACTGACTGAGCTTGTACGGGTGATGTAGGCACAGTGTCAGGTCCGTCAGAGAGGCACAGGGTGTAACGTTGAACCTTTAAGTCCACCATGTTCGGCAGGCTGCTGCAGCAACTGATGAAGCATCAGTCGGTGGAAATTTTGCGACGAGGGCAGCGATTATCTTTCTTTAAAAATTATTCTTGATTATTTTAATGATTGAAAAGTAACTCATGAAACGTGACAAAGTTTCGTTCAGCTTTGCCGCATGTCCTCCCCTACTCTCTCTTCTTTTTTTACAATTTTGGCACGTCATATAACATTCGCTACACAAACTTTTTCTTCATCTGGATCGACCGAAAGATCCCTTTAAGCCAAACATCAGTAACAGCAGCAGCTCTGCTCCACTACAGCTGTGTCGTACACAAACCAAACGGCGCTCTGTAAAACAAGTTCCTGCTTTTTACCGACAAAAACAAACATTAAAACACAAACGACTGTTTCCTCTGTGCGGTTAGGTTGCCGTGACAATAGCGGGGACTGTGATGGTGCTCGACGGTGCCTGATTTTCATCCTCGATCTGATAGGTCACATCAGGCTGAGGGTTGGATTCCTCTAGCCCGGCCACCGTGATTGGCTCGTCTTCGTCCTCCTGAGGCTGTAGATTGTTAAAGGACTGTTCCGCTTCTTCTGATAAGCGAGTTTCCTCTTTTTCTTCTTCCCTCTGGCACCAGAAGAAATGACCGCTCATAAATACATAAAGCATCAAAGAAACCTGATTAAATAGGATAAAACATACCTCTTTCTTCATCCTGTAGTATTCATCAATAGCGTATTGATATTTTGCTGATGTTATCCCAAACAACGAGGCCATCCTCTCCCCAAGGTAGTCGCAGGCTGCAGGAAAAAAGACGAGACAAAAACCTGAAGTTACGTTAAAGTTTTTACGAGTGAGACAGGAAAAGTTCCGTCAAATTTGGTCACATATGTTATGTATAAACAGATTCAGCGTTTGATTGGTCCGCATATCAAAACAAGACATTAAAACTGCAGGCAGAGGTAGACTTCTGACAGAGCATGCACCAACTGAGGTCAAACTGTGCACCTGCAGAGCCAGGTGATTAAAAAACCAAGTTAAGTCTGAATTTTGCAATTTATAATATAAAAACAGAGCTGACAAACTTTACAGCAGATGAGATCCAAGAGGTTAACCTCTGACTGAGCACAGGGCTTGACAGCGCAACCATTTCATCTTGCATTTGTGACTAAAAATAGATGTGTGCGAATTGTAAAATGTATTTATTTATTTATCTATATTATTATATTATATTCACTCTCCAAACCGGGGAATAGCAACAGCAGCGTGGTCAAATCTACTTGTTAAATGAGGGACCGTCAATAAATTACCGGTTGATGTTCTCAAAAAAAGGCTGTTTTCCTTCAATAGCTTCCATGTCACGTGACCAACTGACCTAAAATTGAGTTCAAATAATAATACTAAATGTTGAACTTAAGACACACCTCTTTATTTCCCTAATTTGTCCTCTAAAAATTTCTGTGTTTAATTTAAAGGCAAATTTTGAACATTTTCAAAGAAGTTAGTGTCAAGCCCTGGAGCATGAGCCAACAAAAAGCTAAACAGTGCATTCAAATACTCAGATTAATCCCTGACTGCAACCTGTAAGAGTGAAGTAAAGGTCCAGCTTCCTACTGTTCAAGCCTGACAAAGGTCTACTGTGTCTGCAGCCAGGTTCTCGATCTGGCCTCCCAAACTGCTGTGTGCCGTGTGTCAACACAAAGTTGACACATGGCACAGTTTCACTTTTCGAGCTTATATTAATATGTTGAATAAAACAGCGTAGAGCCCTTTAATTGCAACATCTATCAAGGTGTGAAGTCTTGAACAAACCTGAGATGGTGGATGTGGCCGCTCTCCACATGTGAAACCAGAAGTACGGACCCCAGGTCAACTTGGACTGTAATACAAACACAAAAACACAAACACAGTCAGGAGGGAGGGAGGTTTTCATCTGAATCAACTCATACACTCTCTCCCTCTTATCTTGTCCTCATTTGGCTTCTCACAGCCTCAATCCCTCCTCCCCTGTCCTCACCCTCACCGCATCGACCGGGGAGGACAGCAGGTCTTTCCTCTCCGGTTCCTGGTCCTCTCCCTCCTCTTCATCAGTGCTGTACTCCTCCATGGTCTCCCCGCTGGAGAAATGGATAATCCTGCGGGGGACCTTCTCCCTCTGCTGCTTCTTCTTCCCCTCTCTCTGGTTCAGCTCTCCCAGCTCCACACTCTCAAAGTCCTTCACAGGGTTTGGGCTCTGGGTGTTTCAGGACACAACAGGGTGTGTTAGAATGGGTTATAACTGCAGTCTGTGTACAATTATTTGGTTTTATTATGAACCGACATGACACAAGTGGAGAGTGACAGTTCAGCTACAAACACGGACTTCATTAAAATAATAAATAAATATGTACAATTGTTTACTGACCTGCTCCACATCCATGGTCTGTCCTATCGACACATTGACGTTGGTGAGATACAGAGATAAATCGGCCATTGTCGCCGTCTTCTTCTTTGTATCTGAGGAGGATGCTGCTGCTGCTGCTGCACCCACTACGACGCCTCTCCTCCGCACGACGACACCCGGAAGTACCGTACGTTGTTACGCAGCGTGACGTACGAGGAGGTAAACAGAGTGAGCGCAATCGTCGTGGGAATTGTAGTTTCTCCTCAATTTTAAACTTTTTTCTTTTTAAACCTCATTTCTCGACAAATATAAAGTAGGTTACTTGTTTCTATAGTTAGGGCTGTTCTCACAAGAATAATTGAGTGAATTAAATGTCACTTAAATGATCAAAATCGTAAAACGAAGATATTTTTTCTCGTTTAAAGTCGGAAACCTAGCAGCTAACTCTGATGCCTTTTAAGAGAGCCATATCCATCACACAGTAAGACAGAAATAACCTCTTACTATCTGTAAAAGTGAGAAAAATATGAGTCAACACAGAGCACGAGAGCCCAAGAGCAAATACGCTCCCCACACCTGGTCATTATCATGGCTTATTAGACCCACACACCTGACCCTGCACTGGGAGGATTATCTCAACAAACTCTAAGTGGCCCAAGTGATTAGCTTACAGTGTATTTTTCAGAGACGCGTCTGCAGAGACATTAATGAAAAAGCTTTGTAGCTTTGTCCATATAAGCATTGTAAAAAAATGATGAGACTGTGGTCAGTGGAGAAATATCTTCTTTTTAAACTGAGCAACAGAATACAAGATTGAAATTAATTACTTAGTAAGCACAAGCCCAACAAAAACCCAAGTTATGAACATAGAAAAACTAAACTTCAGGGTTTTTTTTTTTTGCTCTGAGGTATTCTGTCAAACTGGGTAAGGGTCAACCGAAAGTAGCGTTGAAAGTGGCCAAATATTTAGGCACAACTCTTGAAAGAGGTGGCGACGGCGACGTCCAGCCCTCTGACAGTTTTGGGCGTTATGCAGCAGATAAAGCAACAAACCTCAACCATTTTAATGATGCCATGGGACCATTATGACCACAACTGGTCTGACGTGCTTCTGTCATCCAGTCTGCCCATTCTCCTCTGACCTTTAACCTCAACAAGGCGTTTTTCACCCACACAACTGCTGCTCACTGGATATTTTCTCCTTTTCAGATCATTCTCAGCAAACCTTGTAGATGGTTGTGCGTGAAAATCCCAGTAGATGCCCTAATATTTCCTCAACCCTCAGACTCTGAGCTGAAAATAACATGGGAAGCTCCTCAAGCGCGTATTTACAGGCTATCGCCATAAGATGTCAGTAAAGCTCCATTGAAAACGTGATTTTCTCTGACGCAGCTGCAGTATTTATTTGGGTCTGATACTGAGATTTACAAAAGACTCTCATAGAGCATTAAATCTGCTTATTCTAGGGAGCAATTATCACAGTTTAGTTACCTGCTCTCACTCTGGAGAGCTGCAGAGTAACTTCAGCAGGAGTTTTCCCCAGGCTACAAACCACAAAACTCACTCAGAGAAAAAATACATAAGATGAATTTAGAAGTTAAAGCTGGAGTGTCCCCATAAAAAATGCATGCCAGCCTCATTTTGTGAAATGTTTGCTCGGGATGCATGAGGACACCATTTTCATTTTAAAGCAGTTTTATTAGTTAAGGACCAAAGTAATCTCCCTTCTCGCAGGAGTCTCCCGGACTCTTTTCACACTTCACTTCTCTTACCATCTTTCTCCATTTCCGTGGGTATTAAATTTGCACTCTGCCAGGATTTATGGTTTCACCTCTTCCCATCTGGTTTGTTTGGGTTGGTCCAAATTAGAAACTGTGTCGCAGTTTTTCATTCGCTCCCTTTTTTCCCCATTAAGAACTGACAACGACATTTAAGCAGCCTATTTGTAATCAGTCTCAGGATTGCTCGGGTCAGCTGTTTATCGGACAAAACATTATTAATCCTGAGCTGTCAAAAGTTATGGATTTCTCAAAAGGGTAAAAGCACGGACTCTTGGATGTATCAGCTGCGTCTTGGGAAAAGGTTGCCGCTATCGTGTGATTGAACTTTGAGAAGCTGCACGTCCCATGATTGTGTATTCATCAATAGATTTTCGTGTCACTCCCAAAACCAAAGGACTGTTACACCAAATATGTACACGAAATTTCTCAATGACTTTGCACCACAAAGTCACAGTCTGGAAGGCATCAGGCCTGGTAGAAGGGAAAAATTACGGCATCCAGACAAAGTGAGTAAATCAAATTTATTATGGTGTTTTTAGGAGACAGTGCATTTTAAAAATTGGATTCTAGCCTTTCATTGCCCTCTGCAGGATTTCACACTTTAAAGTGGCATGAAATCCCTTATGTCAGCCTGACAGCTAAGCTATTGTTTTACGCAGATGTGATTTTACTCAAGCATGATCGATGTCTGCCAGCATCCAACACGAAGAGGCGAGACATGAGAGGATGTTGACCTTTTACCTGTTATAAATAATCTAACCATTGGGTTGCTCGCAGAAAAAGAAAAGAGCAGAGAGTGATCTACAGTTCTCGACATCTACTACTTCACAAAAGTTGACTCCTGCAGCATCTTCCTGCTTCGTGCTGGTGCTGGGATGGAAATAACCACAACATTGTGCTTTTTTGACATGTTGAGTAACTATCACTTTGTGTCAAACACTATAACCAAATCTTTGAGCAGCCACTTCAAAGCCAACCCACTGAGCGATAGTCGGCTATTAGACGTCTAGTTTTTCTTTAGACCTTATTTCAACCGTCTAGATTCTGTATATTTTTAGACGGAATCTAAACGTTGCACTTTAACCCATTATTCGATCACTATTTATTTCAGAAAGGAACTGTGAGTTGCATAACTGACCTCCAAGTACTTCACCAAAATAACTGATAGCCGTTGAGCAATATACAGTGAAGTATACATATAGCTCAGATTTATGCTGCATTTGAGTCACCTCCTCGGAAGTCAGATGTCTGAGCTTGGAATAATGTCACACCCAAGTTACCAGCATAAGTCAGAAAAAAGCAAAATCTGAGGAGGAAACAAGATGCATACATCTACGAAAGTTAGTTTAGCACTTGCCTTGTCCTTGCTTATATTCGGACAAGGCAAGTGCTAAAATAACTTTCGTAGATGTAGCCATCTTGTTTCCGCCTCCGATTTTGCTTCTTTCCGACGCATACAGGTGCAACCAAATAGTCCGACGTCAGCAGGTGCTTTTCTTTGGGCGATTTTGTAAAGTGGGAATGAACAGATTTGAAACTCAATTGAAGAAGTTAAAGCTCCTATGACTCCAAGATTGCATAGCGATATGCCGGCGACTCACCCGCCGAATGTGTGCAATGCTACTGCGCAAATGGTATATCCAGGAAGCGGAGAAAATCCTGGATATACCAGAGCAATTCGGCTTCAAATGTGTATGATGATGGAAGGTTACCTACCTGGTAGCTAGACAGTATTGACTTAGTAGTTATCATGTAATTACCAGATAATTACATGTTGTTACTAGGTAATTACCTGTTAATTACATGGTAATAAGTGTACCATAAAAGAAAGGGTTCCCAAATATTCTGTGGAAGTAGTAAAAATGGGTCTTTTTCTTGAACTGCTTGGCTGACACCCAACCCCTAACATCTGTTTGAGGCATTAAAATGTATAAAACTGTAAATCTTGTCGGTTATGGTCTTGTTTCAGTTCAGATATCAGGATAAAAGCACCAACATGAATTTCAGCCCTGATGGGAGCTTTAACTGCAGGTTTTGCTAAATGGGGGTCCACTTACTCAGGGCAAGTCAACATTGTGGGGGACTCCAGTTAAAGCGGCATCCACTGTTAAAATGTGAATAACTGTTTCTAATAGTGTTTACTGCATTGTCCCAAACTGATCAGGATTACATATTAGGGGAATATAAGTAGTTGATTATATCCATTCAAGACCAGTAAATTCTAAAATAGACTAAAAACTTAAGTCTACAAACCAGCCAATAAAAATGACCGATGATCCCCACACAGGTTTATCAAGGAAACACTTATTGCTTATCGGAGATGAACACATACACAGACAGCAGTGGACACTCAACCCCGGATTGGACCTGTTCATACGAGCCAGCCTCAGCTTGTTTGCACAGACTCCAGCCTGCAGCGCAGCTCAAACACTTCAAGGATGAACTGAGTTACATAAAAACGGATGATCAAATAGAGACTTTCTCGAGCACTGTGGCACATTTCCTCTCTTTTACTGTCTCTCTTTCTCATGAGTAGTTTTAAATGATTGAATGAAATCAATCCGAGTGCTTCCAGAAAATTCTAATATGGGATAAATATACAAGAGCTGGAATCCCATCACAGACCTGAGTGTTACTGTAGAGCTGTAGTACTTAGAGCAGTGGTTCTTAACCTTGTTTGAGGTACCGAACCCACCAGTTTCATATGCACATTCACCGAACCCTTCTTTGGTGAGGGTTCAGAAATTGTTTATATGCGACAAACGATTTCTGCTGACTTTGCAGAGTCAACTGCAGAATTAACGGCGTTCCGAATGAAAGGGGCTTTGAAAAGTCCCGCAGCATGTGTTAGACGTCACCACTACACATGGACCAATCAGGGGCTGCCTTTCCCTGTTGTCCGGGTAACAGTGGAAACACCGTCTCTGATTGGCCCGGTGATTTTCTGATCGGGAATACACGCTCTCTATGGGCCGAAATCCAGACTGTGGTGGGAAGGAACATCAAGTGATTGATGCAACAGGATGGCCCAGCCAGGCTACCATGGCGGAGGCTCCGCCGAACCCCTGAGACCGACTCACCGAACCCCGGTTAAGAACCACTGACTTAGAGGGACTCTCACACACTGAATGTATAGATATAAAACTAAAGAGAGCGATGAAGAAGCGGCAGTTGCAAGCAGGCTAGCTGTAGCAGTCCTCTGAAGATGAATCATCACCTTGAAAATCTGAAATAAATCCAAAAGCAAAACCGTCCTGTTAATCGTTTTTATCCAACCTTCACAAATACAGGAAACTAAGTTTTGTGAGCTGTGTGTACTTTTTGTGCATGTGTAGATTTGTACACTATAGTGTGCCGTCCATGTCCACGTTTCACGCTCAGCAGAGCAAACTCCCAGCTCTGA